GATGATCCCGACGCCACAGAGAGGCACTCTGTCATATTTGTTATTTTCTTTTTGTACCACCTAGTAAAAGACAAAGTCGACGGTCAAGAGACGGAACCTGACCGCTCGCAAGTCGCCACATTTGCGACTGAGATGTCCGTCGAGTGTGTGGCTGCAGTCCAATAGTTTCGTTGAGTAACCATCTTTACATTAATTCACGTAAATGAAGTAAACTCATAAGTTCTAAGTTTCAAAAATGTACGTGTTTCGCTTTCTGCAGCTGGTGGCCCTGAAGGGGGGTTGGAGCAGAGCGTACAGGTGCCAGCGGGGGTCATGTAGGTCTTCACGTCGATCATGTAGGCTCCTTTACGCTGCAGGGTGACCACATCGAAGCCCTCCCCCACCAGGTTGTGTCCCGGGACGAAGGGGGCGGTGTGACACTGGCTGTAGTTCCCAACGCCACAGGAGAGGACAGAGGACGACAGAAAGAGCAGGACACTCAGGTGGAGGAGGGGGGGGAGGAAAAGGAGAGCATGGCTGGAGTCAAAGAGAACCTGAATTAAAAGAAAGACAAAGAGAGAATCAGAATAACTTTATTCGTCCCACAGAGGGGACATTTACATTTGTTACAGCAGAAAAGAACCAAAGACAACTTAATGTTTCCTAAGAAGCATGCATACACAAATATTTGTATTACACAATTTACAAAATACGCATCCTGTAACAGTTTTGAAGATGTAGCAGCCAGGTATATATTGCACAGTTATTAACAGGCATATATATATATATATATAATATATATATATATATATAATATATATATATATAGTATATATATATTGCACATCATTTGTATTTTCAACCAACAAGGGTGTTATAGTGTAGTTTGTGTTGTTTGTGTGTGGGGGTCTATTAGGGCTCATAGTTTCTCGAATAAAATCCCCAAGCTTCAGACACGCCCAGCTCCAAGCTTTTTTTGAAGCTATAGTGTGGACGGGCCGTTACAGCTGAATGAGGCGATTACCATTGTTTTCAGCAAAACGCCTCACAAACTGATTAAGATTTAAAGCTATGGTGCATTTTGATTCAATGCTGAGTACAGCCTGAAGAACATATCGAGGATTAAAAAACTAATGTCACAACAGGACTTAGAAAACCTTGTCCATGCTTTTATCTTTAATAGACTCGACTACTGCAATAGTGTATTCACAGGGCTGACAAAGAAATCCATCAGAAAACTGCAGCTGATTCAGAACGCTGCTCCACGTGTCCTCACTAACACTAAAAGAGTGGATCACATCAGTCCGGTTCTGAAATCTTTACATTGGCTTCCAGTCGGCCAAATAATTGATTTTAAAGTAGCTACTATTGCTAGTTTTTAAATCATTACATGGTTTAGGACCAAAGTATATTGTTGAACTCCTGCATAATGACGAGCCATCAAGGTGCCTCAGGTCTTCTGGGTCTGCTATCGGTTCCGAGAGTAAAAACAAAACATGGAGAGACAGCATTTAGCTATTATGCCCCGACACTCTGGAACAAACTACCCAAATCATGCACGTCCGCAGAAACGCTTACTATTTTTAAATCGAGACTAAAAACATATCTCTTTGGCTGCTTTTAATTGAGATGCTCATATTCGCACTACAGTATGCCTATGCCTTTTAAACGTATTGTATACCTGTGGTGTTTATTTTTATTATTTTTATTATCTTTGCTTTGTAATGCCTGTTGTAAAATGCCCTTATATATGTGTTTTTACTGTATTTATCCTAAAAAGTATTTTAATTTGTTTTGTAAAGCACTTTGAATTGTCGCATACAGAAAATTGCTATATAAATAAACTTGCCTTGCCTTGCCTTACCTTACAGCCAAACTTGACAGACTCTTCTCTGTCATTGTACTGTAGACCGCAAATACCTCATTCCTTCCGTCTACTTGGATCCGAAATGCTTCTCGTTTTGCGCTGTCCCCCCGTTCAAATGAAATCGCCGCCAATCATATTTCCAGGCTTGCGCCGGGGGAGGGGTTACAAGGCTCACGTCTTGTGCTGCATTCACTTGCACTCGGACATTAGAGATTTTCTCTCATAAATGTCCGATGAGCCACAACTTTTCTTTCAAAACAAAGCTGCCAACTGGGGTGGCAGCTGCGGTGGCAAGGCATTTTTCTGAGGTGGCAGCTGCCACCCCATGCCACCCCGTAGAACCGACATGTTTTTATGAACCCCACAGCTTCCGGTCTTCTCAGACCCGAACGGACAAAAAGACGTGCTGCAGGCAAGAAACACGCTACCAATAGAAATACATTGCTTTTAAAATCGTTCTGTGTGACACGAAAAAAAGGGGGAAATCGTGTTGGTGAACACGAATCAATAGATTAAATGTCTTATAATAACAAGAAATGCCGTGAGACTGGGTTGGATAATTCATGGCAATCTATCCTATATTAATTAAACATTTCACAGTGAATCTAAAGTTTTCTCCTGCTGGCAGTGCTAGAGGACATGCCAAGAGGATTACCAAAGTCAGTATGAGACTCATTTTCTGGGGAGCATAATTGTCTTAAAACAAAGTTATAGCCGTACATCCAAAAGTTGTTGAGACATTGGCATTCCTGGAGTGATATCACTATCATTTCAACATTTAGTGCAGTATTTCATAACAAACCTTATGGTTATAGGCCTACATCATATTTGTCTTTACTTGTACTATTGAACCTTTACTGCTTTACTTAAAATGTACAATTTACAAAACTCTGCACTAAATAACCCACTGACTGAAAATATTAAATTATAAAAAGTGTCTCCATTTTGTTGTTGAGTGAGATCCCTGAAATAAAGACGCTGAGAGTCTGGTTCAAACACTGACTAACAGTGATAGATAAAGAAGTAGACACACCAGTGGTTCCTTAAACACATCTGACTCTTTTAGTTAATTATCCAATATAAATATCAGGCTATAAAACGTACTCTGTATTGAATATCTCTTCAGGCTGCTTTTCAGAGATAACGTTTTCACAAACTTCTTGCAGAGTAATTAAAGAGCGTTTGCCCTTTGGAACCTTCCTCCATCAGATACTGAAGCAATCACAATTACATAATACTTCTTTTATGAAAACCCAATAGACCTGTCCTGGCAAGACACTGTAACTGTGCTGCATCAGCTGGCTGCTACCTTATCGTACAGATCACATCTCAGCTCTCATATTCACTGACACTGCTTTGCTGCTGCTTTACAAAAGCCTCCTCCATCACTGCCTCCTCCTTCTATGCTCCATTTTATCCTCCCTGCTGAGGATGTTGTTAAATATGGGACAATAGTTTGCTATGATTCCTCCACACTATTTTTCAGGTATTAGGCTCTACTGCTACAGCAGATCCATGCCGCCAAGTCAAATAAACGTATTGCCATCTTCAACTGCAATACGTTTATTAGTAACTCTGATGAAACCTTACAGATGATGACCTCATTCTACCTTTCTACATGGCAGGCAGCTCAGAGAGGATGTGAGGAGGGGATTTTGGTGGAATGGAAATAAGTACCTTGTTCTGCACAGGCAAAAATCAATTGAATTTTACACTAAAACCATTTTGCCAACAGCATTTCTATTCTCAAGTGATTTGTGGTCGTCACACTGGGAGAGGGGGATCATGCTTTTACACTTGAAGATTTTTGTCATCATTGAACGGAGCCAAGACGGCCGTTTCCCCTGAGTTTCCAGTCTTTGTGGTAAGCTAACTGCAGGCTGAAGCTTCACATTCACCGTAAAGACATGAAAGAGGTATCCATTTCCTCATCTAACTCTCGCCATCAAAAGCAAAAACCATGTTTCTAAAATCAAACCATTCTTCTGACAGTCAACTGTCAACAGCGTCGTATTTACAAGCGGACTGTCCATGGTATATCTACAACAGCAGACAAATGCATACTTTTTAAATCAATCTTCCTTAATTTCATGTGGTAAAAAAAGTGAATTATGTACATGCAAACTGCATAAGCTAACAAAGAAATGAAATGAACCTAACCCTACATACAGTAGCCCACCAATATCCTCAGAAAACACTGCTCCCCACTTTGTATATCTTGATCTTTTTCTTCTGTTTTATCTTCCTTTTTTCATCTTACATAAACAATTCATAGGGTCCAAGTGCTATCTATAACTGCATGGCTAATACAGACGTTGTTTGTGCTTCCTTGTTCCTCTACGATTTATGTATTTATTCATCCGTGTACTTGTTAAGGTACTTTCAATCTGGCTTAAAGCTTTGCTGGAAACAATAACAAGATTTTATAATTATAGATACTTAGGTTTATTAAGCCGCCTTAGAGGCTGATAATTGCTCTAAGAGTCCTCTGGTTGCTTTGTATCCCATTTATTATACTCATCAATTATTCCCAATTTCCTCAAGAACTTTGACAACACGATATTATCTAAAGGGTATTTAATTAGTTATTTATTTAATTATCAAACAACTAAATAAAAAACAAACAATTAAGCGTTATAAATTTAAATAAAACAGTGCTGTTTCAATCGGCAGAGATGTTTTAATTACTTTTGAAACCAGTGTAACTTTTGCTTTCCTAATCTTGACCATTGTACATTCATTTGTTTTACATCTATGCCAAAGGTCAGAGCTATCCTTATGTCAATAAGCTATAAAAAAATTATAATAAGGAAAAAGAAACAACAGACTTTGACCCCTCGTGGGGTTTTAACATCTTAGTGTAGACCTCATGTCCTCCGTTTATAGATAGACCAACTTAGGAAGTTCCTTAGTTGTGTACTCTTTCTTACCAATCAGATTATATCTCTACGTAGCCAATGAGGACAGAGCAAGCCAGTTGGCTGGGTGTGTTAGGTTGGAGTTTAAACTTTGGACCAGAACAGAAGAGCCGAGAGATACAGTGGAGGCTCTTTAGGAGCGGGGAGACAAAGCTACTCCACAAAAAAGTACATTTGATATTTTGGCTGAGTTTCTGTTGTCTTGGGGGTTTCTTTGGTGTTACAACGAAGCAAGACAACTATGGAGGACTACCAAGAACCGGTAAAGAACAAAATACTTCCTGTTTATTGCATTGTCGTTTGAGTTTCTTGGGAAAGCGAACAGAGCAAAGTTCAGGATTGAGAGTAAATCACAAGCGTATACAATAAAATCTGTAATCAAAGGAGAAAAAGACAATTTAGAATGGCATTGAGGGACATGAGCATAACCGTAAAATTGTCAGATATCTGAGCAGATGGGGGAACATATTGTACAGTACAGTGTGTTCTGGTGCGATCACGGTGAATGGTTAGGAAAGCAGTCCCCAGCTGTTGCGGTATTTGAAACCTTTATGTTGTGCTCTCTTGGCTTCTCAGAGCATGAAGGACATACTGTGTGTGTTGTGATTAAAAGTCATGATGTCGTTTCAGGGCTGTGATGGCATTGAACTGCTCGATTGGCTGTTTGATCAAAACGATGGAATTCTCCGTCACGAGGAACCAGGACGCCAAGGCAACCATCACACCTGGCTGGTCCAGGACTCAAATGTGCGTGAGGCTGTGGGCTATCTAATGTCACTCATGCATGCTACAAATAGCTGGTTGCTTTGTGTGTACTGTATATTCTTCGTTGTTTTAAAAAAAAAGACTCCCCCATCTCTCTCCATGTTGACAGCTCATGCTGACAGACTAATGATGCCACTTTCCACCCAGCAGATGCTGCAGCCGGCCGAGCAGCCAGATGATGACTTCCTCAATGCCCTACTGAGTGGAAGTGATTCTGTGTCAGGCTCGCCTGTCTGGTCCCCTTCTCAAAGTGACAGTGGGATCAGTGAGGACCCCCCCTCAGACCAGATGGACAGCCCTCAACGCCCCGGGAGCCCCCCTGGCGACACTCAGTTTTTTGCTTCCAGGCCACAAACCAAGGCAGACTTGGATGCCAACTTCTCCGTTGACCTCCGTGAGTCTCAAATATCCACAGATAAAACATTTCTAATGCAACACCAAATCTAAGAATGTAACTCATGATAATGTTCATTATCGATTATCGAAATCAATCAGACAAAGCTTAGAAAAGAGGCGCCTCTGGTATTACGAAATATGGCATTTGATCCCATAGATACTCAACAATTCAGCCAAGGTAGTCTTATATTTGTTGTTTGACAGATCATTAGACAAAACCAAACATAAAAAGTCTGTCCTAAGGAATTTATTAGTTTCTGACTCAGGTAAAGTGGGAAAAACCATAAAGTTCCCCCAAAACTACCTCTTCAACATTACTTAACCATTTCACACACATTGAGGCTATATTAAGCAACATTTTCTTTTGATAACTGATATAATAACCACCCTTTCATTCACTGAGCCTCCCATGAAATTGTTTGGTCTGACCACAGTCCACAAAGTCTATTAAAAACTGAAAGAAAAATATATATTCACATTTGAGAGCCTGCAAGCTTTTCCATAACAAAAAAGAGTTAATGAATTATAATAATTTCAATTAATTGTTGGGTTATTTACTGAGAGCAAAACCTAATTTCAGTCTGGTCCACTATCTTAAAACATGTTTTCAGTCTTAGGTCTGAACAAAGAATACACAATGTAAAATGTCGCAATTTATTTTGCAAATGAATCCCTGGATCACCAGTACAACAAAGATCAAATACAATCATTCATTGTTAGTATTGGCTATAACACACATGTTGAGAACCAAACAGAGTAATTGATATTTGTTTAGTGTTTAGGCTCCAAATGTAATTTCTCCTTTTTTGTATTATTTATCACCCAACCTAAACCATGACCCATGCCCCCCCCCCCCCCTCTATGCATTACATTAATGCACACAATGTACAACAATATCTGTTTTCTTTTTTTATTACTGCGGATTTTTTTCCCATATTTTATTCCATTCCATTTCTATGTAAATACTGTTATATTTTACTATTTTTTTTATTATTTTTAATATGTTTCTATATCTCTATCTGTGTTATCTGTGTCTCTATATACATTTTTGTCTTACTTTTATGTAAGCACAATGACATCAAGTCAAATTCCTCGTACGTGTCAACCTAATAAACCTGTTTCTGATTCTGATCCTGATTCTGATGACAGCAGTGTGTCACATTGATCACATTTGCACATGCTTTATGTGTACTCGTGTGTCTGTGTGGTTGCAGATGGCTGGGGTCCTGGATTCCCAAATGACAGGATGAGGATCACACCGTATCCTGCAGATGCTCACAGGCCACAGCTGAACTCCGGCTTCCCGCTGACTGTCAAGGATCTGCTACTGTCTGGCACACCGGAGCCTGTAAGTGAGAAAGTGTGTCCTAATGAGGTGGGAGTTTATCGGTATAGGGAGAGTACAGGAGAGCTAGGTGGGAGAACGATGGTGTCTCACGGGTGTTTGTGAATCTTTCCTTGGCTGCATTTACGATAACAGTGACTCATCCAGCCTTTCTAAATTCCCAGTTTCAACCTCCTCTCTCTGTGTGTGTGTGTGTGTGTGTGTGTGTGTGTGTGTGTGTGTGTGTGTGTGTGTGTGTGTGTGTGTGTGTGTCAGTGAAGATAAGCAGCTGAGTTTACTCACTGAAATGATGGATTCACCACGGGATCTAGCCTTGGAATTGCTAATTTAATTCCTATTTTAATACTTTATTTATAGAATATTCTCAGAAGTGTTTATGCTCACAAAGAGAGGAGGATTACTCGGTACAGTTTAGGTTTCTATTTTGTTGAAGTTGATATCCTGATTTCATAAACTCCTTAATAGTTATTTAACCATTTTTGAGATATAACCTCTGTTAAAGTATGCAGACATTACCATTGCACGTTGTGATAGTATCTTACCAGTATTATGCTGCATTATCCATTAGTTAGATAACTTCTCACAAAGAACCTTGTTGCAACCCATTCTATTCTATTTGTCACAATCATTATATTCCACACAACATGACTTCAGACTGTACTTGTACTTGAAGAGTGCAAACGTTCGCCAGGGCTGTTTGCAGAGAAATAATGTATCTATTCAACGGCCCAAAAATGAATAGTGTTCTGCCTTTGCCAGTGACTCAACCATCTACCAAGTTTAATTGCGTTTTTTCTGTAATCCTGCAGAAAAACAGAAAAACAATCCAAACCTAAAACATCCTTGGCAGAATATATAGTGTGGTTGTGCTTCTGAGAATTGAGGGTTTGTGTATGTTTCATTGATCCTATCTTCACAGATGAGTTTAATAAGATGGAGAGGGTAGCAGAAAGCAACTACGGTTCTCACATCGCAATTGCTTCGAGGTAGCAATGAAATATGAGTGATGAAGGTGGACTGCAAGGCTTGGGGAGAGAGGGGGAGGTGAAGGAGGAGGAAGAGGAGGAGGAGGTGTGGGGGCAGAAAGATATTTTAATCACACAGCAGAGATTATGTTTCAAATATTAGTATTCATGTCTCCCCACCAGGTACCAAACATTTCCCAACAATCCATTCAAGAGTTGATTCTCAATGAAGATGAGAAGAAGCTTCTGGTGAAGGAGGGGGTGACTCTGCCCGGCCAGCTGCCTCTCACAAAGGTAAACACAACTCAATAACAGTGAAAACAATTATCGTCTTGCAGATTTGATCTCTTAGAGGTTCAAAATGTAAAATGTTCATCCTCTCTCAATCTAGTACGAAGAAAGGATACTGAAGAAAATACGCAGAAAGATTCGCAATAAGCAGTCTGCTCAGGAGAGCAGGAAGAAGAAGAAAGAGTATATTGATGGGCTGGAGAGCAGGTACGAATTACATTTAGTTAAGAGTAAAAGGAGTAAAGGTGATTATTTCACATGTTTGAACTATAGCTCTCTCTATATTATTGACCGTCAGACCAAACGCAGAAAACAATTTTGAAAACATCAGCCTTCTGGGACCCGAACGGCTTCAGATATGCCATCAATGTGATCATGCAGGTTAATAGATTTGTGAGCAGGGACACATGTGTTGATGTTCGAGGGCTGAACCGGTGGAAAATAATAAAAGATTTGCGAACAAAATATGTTGCAGTCAAAGAGGGTGCAGTGTTAGAATTGGAGTAAAATGTGTGAAACGACCATTGGAAATGACATGTGATTATTTCAATATTATCCTGAATAAGAAGAGCCATTTTCAAAATATTCCTGAACAGGTTGCCTTCCCTGGGCTTTAAAATATATATTGCCTATCAAACATTTTAATAAATAAATCATAGTTGTTTTTATTATTATTATGCGCCGGTAGGACTCAGATGAGGGTGTTGTACTTTTCCTTTTCCTTATACATGTGATGTTTTGGTGTTTTTTGTTGTTGTTTTGTTTCTTTCCGTTAACCGTCAAGTGGGAAATAAGTATTTTTTGTGTTTCTCTTAGTATCCTAAGATACTGTTATGTTTGGCTGTGAACAATTTGTTTTATTATGAAGGGCAGACCATCTATTTCTATATACTTCGTTTTTTTTAGAAAGGGTAAGGTCATATAAGATTTTTTTCTTCTCCCTGCTCCTTTTCGCTCAATTATGTGTTTTTATAGAGACATGTTTTGTTGGCAAATATTGTACATTGGGTGTTGCGTACCATGAGCGGAACTAATACAAATGAAATGAAATAGTTTTTTGCAGTACCAGAATAGCTGAGATCCTTCTATGTTTGTCTGTGAGAGATTTCACCTTGTCCTGACCCCCCCCCCCCCCCNNNCCCCGTGTTTCATCTCCCCTAGGATGGCTGCCTGCAATGCTCACAACCACGAGCTTCAGAGGAAGGTGTCCCAGCTCCAGAAATGCAACATGTGAGAGATAAAGGACTTCTCTTTTTCCATTTCCTGAAGTCTTTGCAATCCTGTTCCCTCAAACCGTTGTCAATCCAATTATTTTTATCGAACTTTCATTTCTTATTTCTCTTTGTATTTCCTTGTTCCTAATCCTCTCCGCAGGTCACTGATGGAGCAGTTGCGCAGGCTTCAGGCTTTGGTCATGAATACATCTAACAAGCCAGCACAGACTGGAACATGCGTGCTGGTACGTGCGTGCGTCAGGCGGACAAAAGAAATCCATATGACTCATTGTAAAAACAAATTCACATTCGTAGCAAGCCAAATAGCAACAACCATTACAATTGTATTATCCATTGAGAAAAGCCAACCCAGATATGTGCACAATGGACAAAATACATAAAAAGGCACGGTACTCTTTCTCACTGTCTGAATAGAGGCCATTTATTGCATCTGATTACTCCACTCAAATACATTGTCAGACCTGAAGCAACATTGGTGGAGAAAAAAAATAAAAATAAACTTTGAATCTGTAAAATATCAATGAATCACAGGATTATATACTTCGTGAGAAAAGCACAGCATCACTATGATTACTTCCTTGATTCTATACTTCGTGAGAAAAGCACAGCATGAATATGATTACTTCCTTGAGCATTGTATAAAAAACTTTTTTGCAGAGGGACTATCCAAACCACCAACCATAAAAACTAGATCAAAGCTTTCTCAAGCAGTAACTTTCTACAATGTCATCCTGAATTTAACTTTTCCCCCCATCCTTTGCATTGTTATCACATTCTCAGGTGCTTCTGCTGTCCTTCTCACTAATCCTGTTCCCAAACCTCAAGCCTTTCTCCGACACCAAGGTCAGCCAAGAAGACTTCAGTCCAGTCAGAAGTGAGTACCATTCAGCACCAAGTAGCTGTTTTCTCACCTGTCTGCAAACTTCTCCAGCACCTCTGCGTCACATGAGCTTGTTAGTTGAGTTGGAGTCCCTTCTGCTGCTGGAAGGCTTCCCACCTGCAGAGCTCCAAAGACAGCTCCACCTGTCTGAGGATTTGACAAAAAATCTAAAGATTAGAGCCAATTTTCAGAGAACCAAGGACATGTATTATCATTATGGTTATCAGGCTTTTGATCGAATGTCAAAAGCTTCTGATGAATTACTTTGTTAATACATCTGATTGAATCTTTATCATGAGGCAAGGTCAGGTTTTGCAGAACAACAACGTGTCATTTGTAACCAGAAGCTGTTTGACAGATGTTGCTCTTTTACCGAGTGGTGCTAAAGGCTCTGTTTTTAGAGCCTTTAAAATCTTTACGTTTGAATTTGAAGTACTTAGAAGTACACACACACACACACACACACACACACACACACACACACACACACACACACACACACACACACACACACACACACACACACACTCTGTTACTACCAGCAAGGAAAAATGGAGGTAATAATAAGCAGAGCTGCATGTCTAGAGGCTTGAACCCTTTTTTTGTATTCTCCTCCTCTCCCACAGTCCAGTCACGGTCGCTGCAGAACCTACAGGCGTCCCGAGTGCTGCATATCACTGAATCCCCATTTTCTGCTGAGGACGAATCGGAGCCTCTGCACAGGCATCTTCCCGGGGAAAGGGGATTGGAAGATATTACCACCATGATGGGAAAGATGCATGTGAACCAAGACCAGTCCAATGTGGAGCCCATGTCTCTAAACAGCAGTCAGGAGGAAAGAATGGGTCATTTCCATGTCGACCCAATTACTGGTCACATAGCGTCTTTGACCTTGGATCCCCAGCGCTCCGCCCGCTTGAGACCACATGCTGATGACATGTAACATAGATAAATGAATGATCCCCACACAAATTCCCCATATCCTCCTCCTTATAGCAGGCAATTATCTGGGGCTGCTGTTTACACAGACAGGGAAATTAGGTTTTAATCACTCCTGTTTTTTTCTTTAATATATATTCAGTTATACTTTTTCTTTATTTGTGATACAGTTTTATATCAGTATATGGAGGATATTAATCCTACAATGACTTTTCCTTTCAAGATGAACTTTGTCTGCTTGGGCTTTGATAAAATACCAGTATAAATATTAGTGTGTTTGTCAGAAACTGCTAAATCTGTGATGATCGTCTTGATCTCAATGCATATTGTGTAAAATGTTAAAGCCAGCTTTCTTTGATTGTAACCCTTTTAAGATTAATTTTAAGGATAGAAAATCCTCAAATAAAACGTGTCAAAATTAGATCAGTGTTCTCAAAATACTGAGGGTTGATTTACTACGTTTTTTTAGAGCTTTAAAAAGTGACTCCTGTCAGTGTCTGAAAAGATATCAGAATCAGAATTCCTTTATTCGTCCCACAGAGGGGACATTTACATTTGTTACAGCAGAAAAGAGCTAAAGACAGCTTAATGTTTAACAAGAAGTGCGCATAAAAAACAAAACAAATATTAAAGATACATTTTTAAAGAATTACACAATTTACAAAAAACACAGCCTGTAACTGTTCTGACGATGTAGCCAGCCATATTGCACAGTTATTCACGGAATATGTATATTGCACATGATCCAATGATTAGACAAGCCATCTCTCAAAAGGGTGAGTACATCAGGTTTGATGTCAGTGGACACAGAGGAAGAGACAGCGGAAAACTAGGCCAAAGGTGGATCAGATGACTCGTTTATCTCATGACTCAGACCAACCGAATAATCAACTTGTTGATTTATTTACCTGGAAAGACAGGCTGGAGCTTGTGTCCACAGACCCAGCGTGTCTGGCTTGTCAGTGCAGACCACATATTGAGGGGATGAAAGCCGTCTTATCCTTGTTGCAACTTAGGCCAAAAAGTAATCTAAAGGTCTGACATTTATTGTGGTACCGAGCTTCACCTCGAGGGACAACCAGAGATTCATTTCTGTGATTAGAGGAGCCACTGTAGAAACTGGGTGACAGGTCATAAAGTGACCTATCAGAATAATAATTAAAAAACAATATTTAACCACATAAAAGAAATCATTGATTTATTAACACTCCTTGGTGCACAGAAATCATTTTATTGTGTAATTGACTTATAAAGATACATAAGATAAGATAGAACTTTATTGATCCCAATTTGGGACTTTTTTGACAATACACATTAAAAGAAAAGAAATAAACAAGAAAGTAGAAAATATACATGTTGGGAATTTCTTCTTTCAAACAATAATGGAAAGATTTTTAAAGAATAGACCTTTATTTTATAATGCATCAAAGCTGACGTCAAGGGACATTACAGTATATCAAAAGGAATTTTATAACAGAACACGTTATAAGCTTTTTAGCAGCTCAATTTATAGAGCTGAAAAAAGCCAAAAGTTAAAAATACACTGTGCAACCTTCCATCTGTTTGTGACAATATTTCTCAGCTGATTGAGAGCTTCAGTTGTTGCTCAAAACGCGCCAAACTAATCATTGTACAGGGAATAATGTTGTATAATAAAGTTAATGGTCGACAGCAAAGATTTGAACAACATGCTTTTTTCTCGGGCTCAATTATTTTGTACAAATTAATGCAACGATTTCAAAGTCTACAAAGTCCTTTTGGCAGACTCAAATAAGTAACAACTGTTGAGTTGTATCTGTTAATACCTCCGTTTTTGTGGTTGTATAGACATTTTGGAGAGTTAATTCAAGCGTTTATTTGTCTTTTATTTGACATTAATTATGGATTATTCTAGGTGCCAGAAGGTTTCATTCCTCTATTCACTGCAAACTCAATTAATTGTCTCCATTCAGTTTATTAATGGCCGACTTTGCTCTGGGCTTGTGTCAGGACTCTGATTTGATCTGCATACTAATGAGTACTGAGGCTGAGGAATGTGTAATCTGTAAGACTCCCACTCTGGAAGAAGAACAAACTAAAAATGCATTTTAATAAAAATGTCATATTAAAACAACAACAATAATAATAATGGGTATCAGTAAGACTGCCACTTAAAAAAAATAAAAATAACTTTATACGTTATAATCACAATTTCATACATGTATATATATTAATTAACTA